TAGAGTAGAGATCTTGAGTCGAGAAATTGTTGGGTTTCAGAGTGGCCTCACCCAACTTTGCAAACAAATAAAGAAATAGCTATAGAAGTAAAGCAGAAGGCGACCAAAATATCACTGTTATTATTGACAGAGATGTTTGAGGTACGTCTTCACTGGCATACAATGAATTGTCTTATACAGGACACCAAAATTAAACCTCTCCACCTAGTCCTAGGTAGAGAGCTGGATCTCACGTGAGCAAGCCTGGGGTCCGCGGTGGTCCTGGCTCACTTCCTGAGTGCCTCCCTTTCAGCCGTGGCTATGTTGGGCCCACCCAGCTAACCCAGGGTGGTCTCTCCATTTCAGAACCCTTAGTGCTTGCCATGTAAAGGGACATGATCCCAGGTTCTGGGGATTAGAATGTGAAGGTCTTTTTTTTGACCCCTCCCCCCGTGAACGTCTTTGAGGGGCTATTATTTCTGCACACCACAAAACATTAACAGAAACAGCTCTTGTCCTGTACACGTCTTTTCTCCACTTCACTCTGTCATGTAAGTGATCTTTAAATAACATAAATCTGGCCATAGGGCCTTGCCTAGAAACATCCCAACTCCCCCAAAACCTGCTAAATAAAATCTACAGCACCCCTGCTCTCTCCTGCTCCCAGAGGTTTGCTGTCTGCATTCTTTCAGCCTGAAATGCTCCCTGCCCCCAAGCCAAATCCTCTCCATCTTTCTGGTGTCTTCCGCTACACTCTGGTTGGAACCCAGCCGGACTGTGACCTCCACATCTGTTGCCTGACAGTGCTGGGAGTCAGCCAGCCAGGTCTGAGCCACAGGCTGCTCACGTGACCTCGGGCAAGGTCCAGTCCACTACTTATACCCTCTGTGTACCTCTGGTTCTGTGAGGATTAAATAGATCGTGCGTGTAAATTGCTTAGTCCACTGCTTGCCACATAATACCCAACATTAAATTATTATTATTATTTTTTTTCTCCGAATACCTTCAGGGCAGGTTTGACTGGCTTAAGTTGTGGGGATCAAATCTCAGCAACCTGAGCCTGACTGCTTTGTTGAAGCAGCCACTTAAAGAACTGAGCTAAGGGGCAGGACCCCTAAGTTATTATTAAAAATTAATAGGGGCCAAGGAGATGGCTCAGTAGAATAAGCACTTGCCTGGCAAGCACAAGGGCTTGAGTTCAATCCCCGGTTCTGCCAAAAAATAATAATAATAATAATAATAAGTGACTGAATGAATTAGACACTTCTCTTCCCGGGATGTCAATATCCTTTCTATTGTCCTGGGTTTTTTTTTCAGAACCAGGGATTGAACTCAGGCCCTTGCACTTGCCAGGGAAGCGCTTATTCCACTGAGCCATCTCTCCAGCCCCTAGATGTACAGTTTTATGGCACCAATAGAGTAGGGACCTGGTCTCTTGACACCATTACATATAGAGGTGCAATTTTAGTTGTGCCCTTTTTTTTTTTTTTTTGGTGGAACCGGGGATTGTTTTTTTTTTTTTTTTTTTGCGGAACCGGGGATTGAACTCAGGCCTTTGTGCTTGCCAGGTGAGCGCTTATTCTACTGAGCCATCTCCCCTGCCCCTTTTAATTTTTTTTTAATTTTTATTTATTTATTTATTTGTGTGTGTGTGTGTGTGTGTGTGTGGCCAGCTCAGCCCACCAGGGGGCGGGGCTGGCTGGCATGTGGTGCTGGGGGATTGAACCACAGTCCCTGTGCTTTGCTAAGCTTGTTCTAAATAGGTGCTTTAGACCACTGAGCCATCTCACCAGCCACAACCGGGGACTGAACTCAGATCCTTGCATTTGCCAGTCAAGCGCTTATCCTACTGAGCCATCCTGATTTTATATCCTACCAGACTGGTTCACTTTTTAACACTCAGTTCTCTGATATTTTGTTAATCCTATATGAATACTGCTTATCTATCTTATTTCTTTTTCCATTCCCCAGAACCTGTAGCATCTTTATTTATTATTTTTTTTTGGTGGTACCAGGGATCGAACTTGGGACCTTACATTTGCCAGGCAGGCGCTTATGCCACTGAGCTACTCCCCCCCGTAGCATCTTTAATTGAATGAGTTAAGTCTCACATCTTGTGTCCTCCTGAGCAAAGCCTGTTCCTGGTAAGAATCATTACAGGGATCGGTGGTGGAAGCGGAAGGCTTCTCGTAGCTACATTTCTTGGCTAGTGCCCTGCTCACAGAAAATTTAATTATTCTTACTGGACTGAAGTGACTGTTGGTTACATAGAAGCTTCTATCAGAGAAGCCCTGTGCTCTCAGGGTCAACAGCTTGCCATCCCCAGTCTTTTTTTTTTTTTTTTTTTTGTGGAACCGGGGATTGAACTCAGGCCCTCACGCTTGCCAGGCAAGCACTCCCCAGTCTTAATTGTAATTCTACTGCCTTGTAATTTTTTTTTTTTTAAATATTTACTTATTTATTTTGTGAGTGTGTGGCCAGCTCAGCCCGCCAGGGGGCGGGGCTGGCTGGCATGTGGTGCTGGGGGATTGAACCGCAGTCCCTGTGTTTTGCTTAGCTTAGCTTGTTCTAAGTAGGTGCTTTAGACCACTGAGCCATCTCACCAGCCCTGCCTTGTAATTTTGGATTGGTTGTTGCATAGCTCTAGACTCCAGATTACTTTCTGGAAAATAGACACAACAATCCTTGCTTCACTTTATGGTCCAACAAGATCAAGCAGGCATTTTGTAACAGTTCACTGTGGAGAAGAGAAATGAATGTTAACTTCTCTGAGTTAAAGTTGGATTAGTAATTCATTCCCAGAATGTAAAAAATGGCTGGTATGGACCTGTGAGGAAACATAGTGGTTTCCTAATCATACTCTTGTGAAAGCTCCTAAGGGGCTCAATGGCACTGTCACACACCGAAAAGCTCTACAAATCATTTCCCTGTCCAAAAGAAGATCGTCTCCCTTGGGAAAAAAAAATATATATCTTTTTTCCTGAATTAAAAAGGTTATCTGGGGGGCTGGGGAGATGGCTCAGTGGAATAAGCGCTTCTCTGGCAAGTGCAAGAGCCTGAGTTCAATCCCCAGTTCTGCAAAATAAATAAGTAAATAAACAAATAAATAAAATAAACATACATGAAGAGTTAGATACACCTCTCTAACC